ACCCATCTTTCACCCAAATGCCAAAATTGATGTGATCATCTCAAGTATCCCGTGGAAAGCTGCTGAGTAGGCCTGACAGGCTGGATGAAAACCCAATGCCATCATGTAAAGCAACCTGCAAAAATACTTCGATTGCAATTTGGAGCTATACATGTATAACTTAGCCACGGCCGCTTTCAAATGGAAAATGAGGAGTGCAATTAAATTACACAGAAACATCCTATTGAATCCTATTGTGCGCCGGGACTTCTGTCAGACTTGGTGCGGCCGTATGCTCCGACTCAAGCAACACGAGAATAAATCAAGCGGCAGGCGGGAAGAGCACTTTGCACGCATGGATGATGATGATGATGATGATGGTGATGGTGATGATGGTCACATTGACAATGGAGAAAAATGAGAAACGTACACGTTCAAAACTCCCAAGCACCCCAGAAATGACCAAAACGATCGCTGTTTGGAGAAAATCAAAACAATGACTATGGAAATGACCCGCCCTTGCGGCAAGACTGAGGCTTTGCGTTTGCTGACCATGTCTGAGCGTCTGAGCCGTCAATGGTCCGGCCTGATAGAACATTTTGAGACAAAGTGCGTCCGTAGACTGGACCAATTCCTGCGGTCACGGGCTTGTCGGCACCATAATACGTTCAAACAGAGTCAGTTGGCTCTGGTCTGCACTGAAGAAAGAACGCTAACCCCGCTGCAGACTGGATACAAAGAGCTGCACCAGCAACATCGAGACCGGTGAGTCTGCTATGGCCTGCCATTGTCAGAGTCATGTTATAATATGACAACTCTCTCCAATATGATTGCTATCAATCTTGAAAGTTTGAGAGAGACGGGGTTACAAAATCCAATGCCCGCAGCGACCCCCTCCCATCTCTCCCACCACTTCTTGGACTATGGGATCCACCGGCGGGGTCCAATTCCGCCACACCAGGGACCGGTTGCGGACACCGCCCACCGAGTCCACCGAGTCCGGACTCGCGCACCAAGCGTTGCACCACCGCTCAACCGGTCGTTCTCGGCGTGTCTGCAACAGTAGAAATCCCTTTTTGGGGCACAGGAGGCCCGTGTGGGTTATGGATGTGCATTCCACTAGAAACTAGGAGAGAGACCACCCAAAGACCCCCTGGAAGAAGGAAAATAGACCAAAGACCGCATGGGGTCTCCGGTTGCCTCTCGTCCTCTTCCACTTTCCTCCCTTTGTGGTGATGGCCGTGCACGGCTTGACATCGGAATTTCTGGTAAGGCTGGCTTGTTGGCTTCCTATTGTTGCTATCCCTGCACCCTCACTGCTGAAAGGTCGCCAATTGAGACCTATTAAGGTCCACAAACCCACGAACCCACGCAGACCTGTTGGAGGGTGCTGGTAAGGTCTGGCGTTTGGGGGACCTGGTCTACCCGGAGTCTACCCCGACCAATCCATGCCATATGATCCATGAATCACCTTCAGGGGAACAGTCGTTTTGGCGCGCTATGAAGTGAACGCTGTGATGACGGTATTGGCCCTGCTGGTCGTACATGACATGCAAATGCTATACAGCTACCCACGCACGCGACCCACGTCTCCTTGGTCTCGCCGCTTGGCAGCCCTCGGTCTTTGAATGATCCGGAACGGGCGAACCGATGATCCGAATGCAACTGATGTGCGACGTAGGTTGGGTTTTGGAGATGAAGCCTCCCAAACAAAATAAGGTGGTAGCTGGTGGCTATGATTATGACGGCTATGACATGCTGTTCTACATACACTGCACTTCACCCTCAAGTGGATCGCTTTAGGCAGGGCCCTTCTAAGGTACTGAATGTTGAACCTTCGAACCCGCTTTCCCACAAAACACGGCCCACATCATCCCACATCGGAGTAGAATCCAACTAAAACCGCAAATGATTGTAACACTGATAATAACACTTAAAAACTGACTGGCGACCATTCCGCCCACTGACCTGACCCCATCCAAAGGAGTAGAAATGAAATGCTAAACTGCTAAACAATGCTAAACATCTAAATACCGCTGGTCCACCAACCTGCCAATGAAAATCATCTTGTTGTGCATGTTGGATTGTGTTGGAGACTATGTACTGCATGTAGGTCCAGTGTGCATACACTTACACATGTGAGTGCATATAGGTTTTACTTCTTATTTGATTTAACTACTTGCTTTATGTTGTTCATTGTTGTTATATCTTTATACTGTGCAGAACTTCATAGAACTTCTCTGGAAGAATCCTGAAAGATCATGGAAGTGGAAAATGGTTTGCTTGTAGAAGAAAATGATCATCCAAGGGCCAATTGTCCACTTCCATGATCATTTCAGGGAGTGTATACACTCCCTAAAACTAACATGGAAGTGAAGAATGGCCCCTTGGAAGACCATTTTCCACTACAAACAGGTGGTTTTCCACTTCTATGTTAGTTCCAGAGAGTGTATATACACATTTATCTCGATCCCTTGGACGCGGTTGATGGACGAACCCTCAGATCTGCAAACAGTGATCCTGTTGGCATTTCCGGTCTCGACCTGTCGTCCGGTGGGTGAGATGACTCCAATCACTTGTGGAACATCACCTTCCATCAAAACTGAAAAAAAAAAAACGAAACACGTCCAACTCTCATCCTTCTGTGGCTCTCTTGAACCCTCACCATTTCTGGAGGGATTTCCTATACCATGTGACTGACCTGTCTTCCAACCATGCCCATAACGGCTTCCAATGCCTACGCCCCTGCCAGCACCGTCCGTGTTGTCCGTGACCCGAGAGGACGAGGCGCTTCATGACCCGAAGGCCCAACTTCTGGTCCATGTCGTCGAAGTCGGTGGCCTCCTTGGAGTTGCCTTGGGTCAACCCTTGTCGGGGGACGAGGTGTCCGGTCTCAGGGTTCGGTGGGTTCGGTGAGGGGAAGGAGGCTGGATCGGAAGAACAGCTTGGGAATCCATGCGGAGATCTCTTCAAAAGCTGGAGGACTCCGAAAAAGGAAGTTTTGGCAACAGGATCTTTGAATAGATAACATAGATGAACGATAGATGAACGCAATTGGTGGGTCCCGATTCTGCGAGCACTCATTTCATTCTATCCCAAGCACAAGCTCCCAACAAAGACTGCACATGCTCCAGTGGTACTTGGTTGCTTCCACAATACCCCACCGGGGAGGTGCACATGACTCCAACAGTGGCCAATATCAACATCATCAAACATATGAACTTTGGGGTATGTGTTGGGCGACCCCCAGCGCAGCCCATGATGAAGGTTGATTCTTAGGCCAAGCCCTACAGTATATAAAATCAATTAAAATCTAAAACAAACGATTGCTTGGACTGTAACCGGGGTGCGTGCCGAATTGACCAACATTCCACAAAAAGCAAGGGAGCAGGAAGCAGCTTGGATCTACTTTTACTTCAACCTACCTAGCTCCGCTACTAGCTCGGCTCTATGCCAAAGCAGCTGTGCTACTGCTGCATGTTTTGAAACTCAACTCGGACAATGCCCCATGCAGAATATGTTGCCTGTTTCGCGGGGCGTCCAGCCAATACTCAATACTCAGGATCCTCGCAAAAAAAATAAACCTTGGCTTAGTCTTCTGCAACAGCAACAAGTTCAAGAACAAGAACAAGAACAACAACAACAACAACAACAACAACAACAACAAAGGCAGCTCGATTCCTCATCACGCCGTGGACTCTCCGCCACTGCAATGGAGCGACTGGGCGTCTCTTGCTTGGAGGCCTTCTTAGAGACCATCGACATCTGCACCGGAGGCGCGGGAGAAAACCACACAAGGCCGATCGACAGGGCTCGCCGATCGACCGGGCTCGCCAAGACCGGGGTGGTTTTAAATCACATCCGTGGAGCGTCCTGATGATCAATGGATATCAATGGAGATCCGTCTCATCCACCGCGGAGTGGTCTTGACCACAGTAAAGCGCCACGTGAAATCCCACCATTCAAAACAAGAACGTGCCAGAGAGATTCGAGAATTTGTGTGCGGGTTGGCATCTGAGTAACCCGAAGCCCGATCGTGGAAGCTTATAATTGCTATTTGGATCTGTTTGGTGCATTTTGGCACTACCTGTATCTGGAACCTATAGGAACTTACATGAACTTAGTATATAGTTGTAGAGTCTAGCGACGTCTGACAGCTCTGAACTGGCCGACCTCTTGATGTTAGGAGGCCGGGGTGTTCCTCAAATCCAGTATGAAAGCTTGCAACATGTTACCACCTACACTCCGACATTGCACAATGCCCAGCTCGTGCCAGCCCAACGCACTGAGGTTCATGGTGCCATCTCTAACCATCTCCAACCCTCCGACCGCTTCGACCTTGACGCGATGACCTCGACGCATCCACCCACCTGACGTCCAAAGAGAGAGGCCCGTCGTCGGATGACCTGCTTCTCCGGAGGCTTCTCGTGCCTCGCGCGATTCGGGCGCAGCTTCCGCGCGCCGCGGCGCTCGGGGGCGCTCTGGCAACGGCGGGGTGGGGATTCGCGGAGCACCGCGGGTGGAGCCGCACAAGGAGGGAAGTGCTTTCAGCTGTGCTTAGTCAAACGCAATCCTCCTCTTTCTCTATATGATTCTATCTGTATGTCTACGTCAACCCCATCAAAGGAAGAAAGGGAAGAGTGGAGGAAGGACCACTTCCCCACAAATGGAGCTACTCTTACAATCGCTTACTCAACCTGGTCAACGTCTGGTCAATGTAGCAGCCAAGTTCGGGTCTCAATGTTTTATGTCGTCTAATTATGTTCGTTAGCGGGTTACATACTGACGTGCACTCAACTGCAACCAGAATTTTGCCAGTTGCCAAAATGAGCGGTTCGGTCTGAAAATCCTGGCGGTCTCAATATCTCCTGGTGGGCCATCTTGCTGTTCCCAACAAAATTCATCCCGAACCACACTCCGCCTACAGTTTACGGTAAGTTATTCCTGGATCTTCCAACTATGACAAGCTTATGCCTTTTCATCCGCAAACATCAGCCAAAAGGCAGAAATTTGGCATAGTTGGCAGAGCCAGGTATAGTATTTCTTCTTCTTCTTCTTCCTCTTCTTCTTCTTCCTTCTTCTTGTTCTTCTTCTTGTTCTTCTTGTTATTGTTATTCTCCTTCTTCCAGTGCGGAACTTCACCGATGGCAACCGATGAGGCCCAGTGGCATTGAGAGCAGTTGGCCCAATTTGTCGTCCATGCTCTTCAATCTGACACAAAGCCGGGGCGGGGCAGCGAGATTTCACGTGGACCCTGCCACTACCGCCGAACTTTGTATGTTTTCACGGCTTTGCAGTCTCTCTCGGTTGAAATATTCAAGTCCCTCCACACTTCTGGCTATAACGTCCTTTCAGTGACTCCCACTGGCACGATGCTCATTCCTAAGCAAAAGTTGCCATAAAAACCAAAGCAGTTCCTGGCATCGAGCCTGCTTTGGATGAACAAATCTTTCTCTGTCATCTGGTCCTCCACAATCTTGAGCAGCAAGGTCAACTTCTGCCTTTGCAAGCAAATAGTGGACTACTGACCACTGACTAACCACTGACTACCAACACCAGACTACATCTACTAACCACTGACTTCTTTCTCTGTCATCTGGTTCAATCGTGTGGTTAGTAGATGAGATGCAGTGTGTAGCAGTCTGTAGCACTGTCCCTTGGGGGTCCTCGTCGGGTTTGCTGACACCTCTCGTGCTGGACATGCATCGTACGTGTCACCGGACCTCTCACTATATATGATTACCAACCTCGCAACAGCCCAGCCATCGGAAGTCTGAAAATGTGGGATGCATCATGGCAGTTACATCCCAACTTGATCACTAGGACGGATAGATGTCCCTTGGTGTTGACACCTCGACGTCCTATGCTGTTTCTGGCTTCAAGCTCACCACCAAGTTGCTCCACTCCAAGGTTGCCTTGGAAAATTTTTGCCACGGTGTGGATCCGCAAGGCCGCTGTGGAAAGTGGACGGTTGGGGTTGGGGGCCCAGTCATGGTGGACACCGACCACGGAAAACCACAGCACTCAAGACCGCTCGACTTGACCAAAAAGAACACATACACTGCTTCGCACCATCTATAAAACAGTTGGGGCACGCAGCAGGGTCATGTGGCAATGCAATCTACACCCCAGCAAGAGCAGCCTGGATGAATAACGTCAACTATTTATTTTATAAAGTTATACCATTTTCCATTGCATCGTTTGCGCCTAAGAGTGTTAAAATACCGGGTGGCCCCCGTGGCCAAAAACAGGTGAGCAAGGAGTCCTCTTCGCAGTCCCTTTGCCATGAACAGCAGCCCCAAGACCAAACTACCCAGGCAGCCGGCACCCTGCACACGTAAGAGCGTAAAAATGAACAAAAATGAACATAAGAGTCTGACTCTGAAGACCCACGCTGGTTGGCAATGCGCAAATCCCTGTCCAAGAATGTCCAAGGTAGTAGACCTCCCAGCCCCCACAAAAAAGAGCACTGCCCAAAAAGCCTAGGACTATAGTCTATGGATGTCTCTGGGAGAAAAAAAGTTTACCGCGCTTTTGAGTGTGACTCGGCCATACGACTTGAGCCGCAACAGTTTGCCGAGTTGAGGTGCTGAAGCGCAAATCGCCGCTATCCTCGTCCAGCTTCCTCAGTCCGCGTGTGGCGATGAAATCGCAACGGATGAAGACCAGGTGGTTGTGATGAGGTGGATTCGCGACTCACTATACTCACTACGATTAAAAACGATTTGGATATGGACATGAATTAGTAAGGACAGTGCTGCTTCAGGACTGGATCAGCTTCCAGTGCTGCTTCCAGTTGCGAGCAACTGTGCGTTGGACTCAAGGAGGGAAGTTGGTCATGCAAGAGGAAACTGGTCACGCCAATGTCGCGCCCAACTAACAGTTGCCCGATGTTTTTTCCTAGAAGGTCCTAGAAGGCCCCTGGTTTCTACAAATCTGGTCATGAATGTCCAAGACTCTGACAAGAATACAGTCATGGTCTTATGTATGTATGTAAGTGACTTGAAAAGAACATGTCTGCACCTAGTGTCTTTGGACTTCTTGAGCTTGGTTTCCGAGCACAACCACTACTTTCAGGGATGTCTAGCACAATGCCCAAGCTGCACACACGCTCCGGTTGTCTGAAACAGCAACTGGACAAATTAAACAGTCTTTAAACAAGTATGGTGCCAAGTTGGATGCAATTGCATGCCGCACGGGCCCTGCAGGACCCAAGACATTCATGCAAGTTCATAAATCAACATGAAGTAAAACCATGTTTAAACACTTTTATGTTCGCTGCCGTCACCACTGAAACTTGGATGACATTTTCTGATGCATCTTCATTGTCATCCTCTTCGTGACCAACAAGGATCACCCTAAAGACGTGACCATGCGATGGCTTCGAGGGTGTTTCCTCAAGCATTCACAGCGCCCCAAACTGACTGGTGCTTAGTAGAGAATGAGGGAATGGATCCTAAGTAATCTGTCATGTTTGAGGTGTCATTCCCTCATTCCCTGCTAAGCACCAGTCAGAAAAGCAAAAAACACATTGATTCTGCCGGCCCCGCCTCGCCAGGTGCGTGTGGGGCGTTCCCAGTGAGGAGGGCAAGGAGGGTGAGGAGTAGATGGCCACCGAGTCCAAGGACAGCTTGCGGCCTGGGCTGTTGGCGGCAATTTCTCGGCTACCATGGGAGCCGCCCACTGCACGGTGAGAGATGGGAATTGTCTATGCTGGGCTGCTGGACCATAGACATGCGCAAAGCGCCTTCCGAAGTTAAGTCTGTATATAACAACTTTCATGCGGTTCATGCGGTAGAATGAAGAAACACATCCTTCAAGCAAGTAAAATATTACGGTAGCTATGCACATCGACAAAACATTATGTAAATGTCACATTCATAATCATCCACACGCATATTACACATCTCAATCGGTATTTGTGATATTTTTCTAGAAACTTTTGTCCATTGAAGGTCATCCCTTCTCGGATAGTTTTCCGCCTTTGGGATGGTTGCAAGCGTGCTCCAGCGTTTGGGCAGCCAACCTAGCCCAACCCCCAACCTGCCTGGGCCACGGGGGCTCTGGCCGCTCGGGCCTTCTGCCATGGCGCGATATCAAGCGCGGCAGCGGCCAGAGGGGGAGCTCAAACAAAAGTTGACCCTTCAAAGAATTGGCCGTGGGGGTTCCAACCCCCGAAACCGGAAAACCAATCCCTGCAGAACTGCTAGCAACTCGGACCACATCAATGCGGGATCAGGGCGGGTGGTGCTTCAAGTGCGATGTTCCCAACAAGTGGCTGCACTGCACATCTGCCACCGTGATTGCGCTTGAGCCCAAAGAACGGCATCGGATTTGTCCGATTTTGACTGCCCGTTACCTGAACGAGACCAAGAAGCTTCTGGAGCTTCAGTTTCACCAGCCTATGGAAGCATGAATTGAATTGTCTTAGTCTTGTCAATCTGAATGCTCTGAAAGGTCTCACATACATTGAAGTTGAAACCGTTCTTTCGCTAGACCCGCAATGAGCCCAAATGCACCAGCGTGCTATACCTCAAAGCACCTCTTCTCTCTAAACCGTAGGACTCTTGGCCTCTTGGCCCACTTTTTTCATGTCACAAGCCATACGCGCCGGGCGATGGGCGGGTGCCCAAACGGCCCTGGCGCCATTTGGCAGGTCGAGATGCAAAGTGCAAAGCCTTGGCATCCTGCGGCCAAAGCTCAGATCGCGGTGTGAACAGAACCACCGGCGGTGAATGTGGATTGACTAATGTGGATTAACTACTAGATTGATGGATCAACTCCCATGCGAGCTGGGATTTGAACTTCTGAATGCCAATGTGAAACTTGTGAATGTCAATGTGACATAGCGGCTTTCTGCACCTTCCGACCAACCCGAAGATTTACACAGTTGATGCTCATCCCAGGAACCTAGCCACCTGTCCAGCTTTACGTGGTAGCCTTTAGAAGCTTTGGTGTCTGGGTTCAACTTGTACCTAGGAATTGGTTAATTGGTGATACCTTCTTCGCAAAAGCCATCTTCCCTAACGGAACCATTCAGTCAACAACCCGCACCCTGCACCTTGGCCTTCTGATGCCCTGGACACTCTACAATCCTGAAGTGAGCATAAGGTGGAACGCCTCACTGATATGACCACGTCACCCATGTCTTGTCATCTGGTTCTTGCGCGATTGTACTCGAGGGTGGCGGGATGTGGTGGGACACATCTTTCAATAGACCCAACGTTATGTGTATATATACTGTATGTATATCGATAGATTTAAATATATATATATATAATGTAGACTCTTGATTAACAACTCCACACCATTTGAATTGAAAAAACTCTTCATATGGGGGGCGAATCAAGAGTCTACATTATATATTGTAATTATACTATATATATAAGGATGCTGTACTTCGTTTTGGTGCATCGTCTGATTTGAGACCTGGGCCCTGTGTTCACCGGTCCCCAACACGGCCGTGACCACTCACGGCCTCTCCGCGGGACCCGCGCCTGGGTGTCTCCGACCGCGCCGTCCGGACGCGTTGGCTTCAGCCTGTCGGGGTCCAAGCGGCTGGTCTGGCGGATCAAGGCCTAGGCACCAACAGACCCCATCGGCTTCTTGGAGCGGAGGGTGGGGCCCCGTATCCTTGCAAGATAGAGGCATCTCAGCTAACCTCCACATGGGAGGGAGTCCACCAAAAAAATGCGAATGGAATTGAGGTGGACCCTTGACTGACATTTTACAGGTGCTTAGTGCTTTCCAGTTGAGCCCCCTAATTCTTCCACTTGTTCCCAAGGGCGCCACCAATGTGCGTCAATGAGGCGGGGATTGTCTACTTGGCCCATTTGTGCGCAAATCAGCTCAAGCCCTTTGAAGAACTTAAGATTCTTCAGTCTGGATTTCGACCTGATCCATGCCCACAGGCGAGATTGGTCATGTGAGTCGAGATGGACTTGGTCAAGCTTGCCAATGAACTGCATGAAGCACCCGTCCCAATGTGGGTCACTGAGTCTGGGATGGCCAAATTTAAGACTGAACTGCAACCCTTAACAACATCAGTCCCGCTGTGTCAGTGAGTCTTGGAGGTGGTGGGAACACACAGAAACATGCAGAAGTCTTGTGTTGGATTGAGGTGAACACAAGGTCACAAGGTGACCCTGTACAGCTAGTCTTAAGACTTCATAATAAACTCCGCACAGGGTTCATTTCCACAAATAAATGTTTGATGCGTTGCGTTCTTTTTTAACAGGTTGAATTTATGGTTTTTAATGTTTGTGGAACCAACTAAATCTGAATGTATAAATTTATGTGTGCGTTAACGTACATTTTGTATAATATACCTTGAAGAGTATTGAAGAGTGCTATATTTTAAATATTGGCTCATTACATGAGCACTCCAGGGCTGCAATAAACAAAATGCGTTGTCGGTGGGAAGGCTAGAAACCAGCATGTAGGTATGTTTCTGGACCATGAACCACTCAACCCATTCTACATCTCCAAGCTTTGAGCTTATGGCTGCTCTTGTGTTTAGCTACTGGCCGCGGGCAACCCTAGCACACCGAAGCCGAGTCGCAGACAGCTGATCGCGAGAGTCCAAGCTCGTTTGAGGAGTCGTTGAGCTTCTCGAAGATCCTGGGCGGACCAACGTACAGAACCCGGGAAGAAAAAATATAACGGATACACATTGGAACAAAACCAGGCCTGGTGTCTGCCCAAGGTCGACATGTCACCAAGCATCCAAGCTCTTGAAACGACATGGTCTCTGTTTCTTGGTCGATCTGCTCCAGCATTGAGGCCAAAGTCCTCGCGTGCTCTGTTTCAAAACTACACAGTCGTATATGAACTACCCAGTCTTGTATGGTTTTGAACCCTACCATGTACTGCACAGGACTGAAATGATGGACGACCTACTCTCAACATATAACCAACATATCACAAACCCATCCCAGTAATGCAAGCCCACCAAGCTGCACGAACATGTCCATTCATGTAGTTGGTTTTCTTGCTTGCGAGCTGCTGGTACTCAGCTGTCTCCGCCTGCAAGAAATCAATCATCAAGCTCCAGTTGCTACGACTGCAGGTTCGTTCCTTCCCTGTGACAATCAAACGGCGTTACTAAACGCCGGTAGCTGGATTTTGGAACCGCACGCAAAAACGCCTCAAATCTTCGTCCAGCTGTATATTCCAAAGCGTTTGAACACTTCAAGCGCGTCCACAGCTTAAGGTGCATTGCCATTAGCCGCAAGTAGACATGCTGCCGCACCTGTCTCAAACGCTCCTTTCCCGTTCCGTTCGTTGGGCCTTTTGCGTGACTGGGGCCGCCTCCACGTTCTTGGCAGCCGGCAGTTGATTCTCTGACTGAGCACCCTGCAAAGAATTGGGCAGAAAGTCTTGACCGGGTCATGCCACAATCGTATGTAACAGGCTTGACACTAGTCGACCAACACCGTCTACTTCACAAGCACAAAGCCTCGTTGAAGAGTACCAAGTTTTTTCCTAAGAGTAATCCTACCAGCGTCATGGCCCCAGTTTCATGTCTGCACCCCGAAGTGCCAACTGCAACTTCCAGAAAGACAACGGCAGCCTTTCCGCCATAAACATGTGCGAACGGCGCCTCCGCTCCGGCATGCTGGCGCAGGTGCATTTGCAAACTTCTCAGCATCGGGTTGCCCGCCACTGGAGCTGCCGGTCCACTGCTGGGCCGCGCCACCGGTGCCGGCATAGTGGTAGGCGCAGGCGCTGCAGGTGCCACCGCCGGCGCCACAAACCTTTCGGAGGCAAAATCGTAGGTGCGTGGCCGATGATGGTTACAAACATCATCCTATATCCTGCATCCTTTACATTCCGCATCGCTCTTTCCTGCTTGCATTACTGGTGTAACATCCAGAAGTGGTGACTGGCTCGTAAATGTAGCACAAACAATTGCAGGCAAACGCGCAAACGACGCAAACTACAAACAAATAATTGCGCCAGCATAGACCGCAAGTAGCAGAACACACTTGTGGGCAGCGCCCTCCAGCACTGCAGCAACACCTGGAACCGCATCCTGCAGCGGCAGCAGCGCCCAGGCTCCAAAGTGCACACAGGCACCTTTTCCAAAACTTCATTCTTAACTCCCATAAATTTCCCTATCTACGGAATGATGCGCTGCAAATACGTTTAAAAAAGATTGCATGAGGTGCTTGGATGTGCGCGCGTGGGAGTGCGTGCACGTTGCTTGGCATCATTGCGGCATCACACACACCACCCTGAAACACTGAGCCACTGCTAATGAGGAAACTCAGGCATCTTAGGAGTGCTGGTTGTGCGTTGATGCACCCAGCCATGGACCACCTGAAAGCCCCACCACCTCAAAATAAGTAAAAAAAATCAGGGGTGGGTAGACCCCAATTTCAGAAAATTATTCCTGACAGTGTGAAGTGGGGTCAAAAAATTCTGACCATCACCACTAATAAGCTGGTCTAGGGATATCTGGGGAGATTTGGGATGGCTGGACGGTTCTTGACAGCATTCTTTTTTCACTCTCACGCAGGCTGTTAAGATCTGGTTTCTGTTGTACTCGCGATGTTGGAAATTATGTTGGGTGGTTTGGGCAAAAGCCAATAGTTATAAGATGTTATAAGGCGATCACCGCATAGCCACCCAGCTCAAAATAATGTGTTCTTAATTAAGTTACTTGCCAAAAATTATTTGGGAGAGTGTCTCCACCTGTCAAAAAAAATCAAAAAGTTGGGAGTATGTGCGTTGGGTGGGATGCCGGCGATGATGTTGTCCAATGTGTGAGAGCTGGACAGGATTCAAAAGCCTGGGTCGAGCAAGGGCACGTTTCTATTGCTGCACACGACCATGAAACGAACACCACCAGCCCAGGCACGGTGTTGGCTGAGCAATACCAGGAGTTGCGTTCCTGTGTGGCAGAACGGTTTGCTGAGCTCAACTGGATCAGGGAAATTAATCTAATTAAATCTATGATCGTGGCCGTTTGTCGTCCTGGCGATGTTTATCACATTTTATCACAATTGTGTATGGAAGATTATGGAAATGCTAATGTTTGACACGGGTGGGGTGGTTGCACGAAACTGTTCAAACCAAAGCACTGTTGCTCTGCCATCATCTTCTCCAATGCTGCCATTTGTGCATCCAAACGTTCCGCTGCACGTGCCGGCCGCCCAGGTTTACCCTGTTTCTTGTCCTGAGCGAGGTGCGGGTGAGACATGCTGAAGTGACTTAGGCCGACAAACATCACGCAAAACATTGGGGATCGGTGGGAGTCGTAACCTCTGCTTCTTTGATGCCTTGTGTGTGGCTACGCCTGAAGCAGTCCAAGGTTCCGAAACATGAGGCATTGAAACCATCTTCTCACGGTCTGCCACCAGAGGATGCTTCGAAGGTGGTTTTTGAGCACTGCCCGCCTATGGCCTGAAGACCTCGGTCGTGCACTCGCACCCGTTCCCATCGCACATACGCAGCAACATCCAACTGTTTTGGGTCAAGCAGGGCATAAGCGGTCAGTGGAGCTGACTAACTGTTGTAAACGCTTCTTGTTCCGGGGGGGATGTGACTGCCTTCGCAATCCCTCGCACTAAACAAGTAAGGTCCTGCACATACGTGTGGTTGTTCGTGCGCTGGCATGGGGCATGGGAAGGCAACATTGTGCGCCACACAACCAACGGACACACCCATGGCAGGGCCACGCCTGGATGCTCGCACAGCTGCAACAAAGCCAGTCGGCGCCGGCGATGCCCGTGAGTAGACATACGAATTCAATGAGAACTTGGCGGTTCCGTCCCGGATCACATGTACAAGGTTCGTGTTTTGCATTGACCAAAATCCAAGCACAGTTGATTTTACATGTGGTGTAGTTGTGGTCCACATCACCGCAAAAAAATTGTGTTTGTATATGTTTGTACTCCCGTGTCGTTCCCAATGAAGCTGTTCATGCTTCGTCATTTGACATCCGACCCATGAACCTCGAAAAGATCAGTATATCTGGCAGCCGCGCACAAAAGCCGGAACGCCCAGGTTTCCCGGCAATCTCCCGCTGTGTTTCCTACAACATCTATAACTCTATAACTACAACCTGGTTGGCCGCAAATCTTGGGCCCGCACGATCACCTAAATGTAGGGTAAAGGATAAAAAATATCTGAAATCAAAGTTTTCAACTGGGATCAAAAAAACAGGGAATCCAAAAATGGTAGTAGTAGTATGTAGTAGTAGTAGTCGTCGTCGTCGTCGTCATCGTCGTCGTCGTAGCCGTCGTCGTAGTAGTCGTCGTCGTCTCAGTAGTAGCAGCGGGAGCAGGAGCAGGAGCAGTAGGAGTAGTAGTAGGAGTAGTAGTAGTAGTAGGAGTAGTCGTGGTGGTGGTGGTGGTGGAAATAGTAGGGGTAGGGCACAGCGCTTCCTACTAATCGAAGGTTCTGGCTGTCACGCTGGGCGAAGGCGAAGGTGGGCCTTATCATCCACCTTTGTGGCAGCGTCAACGCACAGAAGATAGTAGTTGTGGTATCTGTGGTAAAACTCGTGGTGGGGTGGGGTGGTCGGAGTGATGAAGGCATTAGTAATAGTAGGGGTAGTCGACGGCAGTGGGAACTATAAAAAACGGAAGGGGGTGTGGGGGAGGGAGCAGCGCCTCCCCCGCAATGCAAATCAAGTATAGACAGCACTGGGTTGCTTCGTTTCTTGATTGGTTGCATTGGGCGTCACAGCTCAAGGTGAAGGTCTTATCATCCAACTTTGTGGGGTTGTCAGAACTGAGCCTGCACTTTCATTCAACTTGGTGGCGCTGGCACAGCTAAGCGAAGGTGGGCCTTATCATCCTCCTTTGCGGCGTTGTCACGGCTAAGCGAAGGTGGGCCTTATCACCCACCTTTGGGGCAGTGTCAACGCAAAGAAGATAGTAGTTGTGGTACCTGTGGTAAGACTCGTAGTGGGGTGTCGGGGTGATAGAGGCGCTGGCATTAGTAGGGGTAGTGAGAACTATGAAAAAAGTGGGCGGGGGTGCGGGGAGGGCGCAGCTACGGCTAAGCAAAGGTGGGCCTTATCACCCACCTTTGTGGCATTGTCAATGTCAACGCAAAGAAGATAGCACGCAAAGAAGATAGTAGTTGTGGTAACTGTGGTAACTCGTAGTGGGGTGGGGTGGTCGGAGTGATGGAGGCACTGGTAATGGTAGGGGTAGTCGACGGCAGTGGCAACTATTCAAAAGGACCAAAGGACCAAGGGACCAGGGGACCAAAGGACCAGTGGACCAGAGGACCGAGGGACCAAAGGACCAGGAGACAAAGGACCAGCGGACCAGCGGATTAAAGGACCAGAGGACACAGGGCCAGGAGAACAGCAAAGGAGGCCTATCCAGGATTATTTATTTTCTCGCCCCTTTTTGCCGCATGAAGGTCAGATGGGGGGTTTCCGGAATCACACACCAAGTGCCAGGCCATATATGTCTTGACTATTTTTAGATAGTTTTGATTTTTTGATCTAGATGCGTTAAATTTACAACAATAAATTTCAAAAAAACGAACCAATACAGCACTTTGCACCCACCCTTGGGCAAAAATGCTATGATGAACGGTGCACTACAACCTCAACTCTTGGAATTTGAACAGTTATTTTTTAAAACAATCAAGGCAGGGGCTACAATTCAAGAAGGGTTGAAACCTGCTATCTTTTGCGGTGTGTAGGTGAACAACTCAAATCGTACTTGAACCCGACAATTGGGACAATGTTCAGTACTCAACTTGGACGGAACAAGTGTTTCAATGGGACCGGTCTCAGCAGAAGTGGGCCACTTCCATCGCGGCTAGTGGCAGTACAGACTATCAAGGGATGGACGTTGACCGAGTCCAAGATGCAGAAATAGGAAAAGGCAAGAAGGGCAAGAAGGACCATCAGAAAGGCAAAGGTAAAGATGCTAGGAAAAACAAAAGGGATCAGAAAAGAGAAAAAGGCGATGACAAGGGCAAAAGTAAAGGCAAAGACCAACAGGGCAAAGGTGTGGCAACATGTTACGCTTGTGGAAAGCCAAGACATCTTGCTAAAGACTGTTGGAGGAACCATGTTCGACAGGTAGCAAGTGATCAAGCCCACTGGTTTTCAAGAGGAGCATCAGTGACTACCCAACAACATGCCAAAGTTTAGCCAGCGCGGAATGAAGATCAGAGCTGTTTGGAGGTGCAAGTGCCTGAAACTTTCAAGCAGGAAACACGTTGAAGATTCAATGGTCATGGGCTGCTAGTTGGAAACCCATTGGCTTCAAAATTTCTGAACCCCACAATCATTCCAGAAGTGCAAGAACCACCAAAAGTTGATGAGAACTACTGTGGTGAAAACAGGAGGTGGATAGTTATATAATGCCTGAATATTGTGAAAGCATGATGGCTTCGCCTCCTGCCCCCTCACGTCACAGAAACTTACGCGCAAGAACATGACGCAGCAATCACAGAATGTTTGGCCCACCTCCTTGGCCATTACGACATGCCAGCCTCCGCCATCGCCACAGCACATTTGCCCTTGGCACAAGGGGGATTGGGTTTAGCCGTTTAGCCCCTGCCAGACTTCTTGGGCCTCATGGGCGGATGCCCTGCCCGTCCTGCAGCGCCAAGCGCCAGACACAGCAGCAACAGCAGTCCGACACCTGACCACCGCCACGACTGCACCAGCCCCCTTTCAAGCAGCCACTGCAGCCCGACAAATCCTCGCAAACAATGGCTGGGAACCACCAACTTGGACACAACTTGTCGACCACCCACCGCCCCCCACCAACAACAACCGACTCGATGGTCCCACGCAACCAGGGTGGCAACAACACGCAGCAACCCCACTGCAAACCCGTGCCAGAACTGAAGTCTACCAACATTTGGGCCCAGCTGGCCAGGCCATGCTGGACTCCCAAGCGGGCCCGTATGCCAGCCGAGCATTCACCACGGTGCCCTATGCAACAGACACACAGACACAACATACCCTTCACACCTCTTCCGGTTGCTCCTTCTGAGACGCCTCCGCCTCCCACTCCCCCTGTCCGAGCGCACGGTGCCGTCGCACTCTTGACTTACTTGGCGACCACCGCGCAGCTTGTTCGACGGCTGGGGTTTTGCGGACACGAGGCGTCCCTCTCGAGCGGACAGCAGCCAGAGTCTGCAGAGAAGCAGGTGCGAGGGTCACCATGCACACAAGGGTCGCAGACCTCAACCTCCCAGCTGTCCAACAAGTTGATGACCGACGAATCGAAGTCATCGCCAACGGACTGTCGCTCCACAATGGCAGCCAGCTGGCCATCGACACCACGTTGGCTGCGCCACTCACCAGCACCGGCCAACCACGACGGTATACAAATGGCCTTGCCCATCCGGGAGCCGCCGGTATAGAAATGGCTACTAACCAGGACTTGCTGCTCAAAAAAGGCGCAGCAATTCTTTGATGATGATGCAACCATTCCTTCAATCACAACCCTTTCTTAATGTTCAGCTATGAACCAGCACCACAAGAGGATATGGGATTCTTCCGCACCAGGAAACCAGAAGCTTGAAAACAGAGAACAAAGAAATAAACCACCGCAGCTGGCGATAGAGACCACCCCTACCCTCCAGGAGGAACCCAATGCCAATGGCTGTAGACAAAAGTCTTGGTGAATGGAGTGGAGTTGGCTAAGGATGTTTCTTTGACAACTCTGAGGGCAACACTTTCATTTCGCGGCATTTCAGGCAAGGTGAAGGTCTACAGGACCAAAATCCTCAATCACAACAAGAAGATGGAATTGTTGAACGCCAAAAAGTTAGCGAAACAAAATCTCAGGAAAAAAGGGGCATTAGGCCAAAGTGTTGGAAAAATGCCAGGTGAAGCAACTCAAGCAAGGCACCGGTTGTGGGAGAACACATGGAGTACACACAAGAAGTGTTCCTGAGGTAAACTTTGACTTCTGCTATAACAAACGGAACGATTCAGACAGTATATTGGTTAGATGCAATTGACAGGCAGACCGGATTCATTCATGTTGTGCCATTCGGAAGCAAAGGCCAATTCCACCATACGTGGCTGGAAGTCGTTTGCAGTTTTTGCCATAGACAGGTTCAAAGGGAGTTGCGCCTGTGACTGGCTGAAACCTGTGAAGCAACCAACTGGCATGTCTCGCAACCGAAGTCCAAAGTGCATGACCTGGCCCAATCTTGATGCCCAGTCTTGGTTGCACACCTTCAATGAAAGTTCCTGCAAGCTTTCTCGCCCTGTCGATTATGTCTTCGGACAGTCTGACAGCAATGAACCATAAACTTGGAGATGGCATTTCGGCTACGGTTACTAGCCAAGGCTAGTTACAATAAAAATTTCCAATTTCGCTGAAAGAAGGACAGGTGAAATTTTCCACCCGGCGATTTCAGCGCATGTATTGAAGTTTCTGCCCGCAATATCCTTGCAAAGGGTCACTGTGAGAAAACAGTGAACATTTTCACAGCTAGACGGAAATGAGAAAAGTATCATATTGATCCATGTGGATGACTTGGTTTTCAAGAGAGCGGGGGGGCTGTGAGAGTGCATTGCTTAATTGTTTTTTAAAACTGTTTGGTATCATTTGATGCGCAAGATATGCAAAGATGCTTGTTTTCACTCCAGGGCAGAAGATATCACTCTACTCTAACCTGGGGCTTGGGCTTTGGTCTTCCCCAAATTTTAGGTAAATGCTTCAGTGGTAGCCCCTCTCCATATAAACACATATATAATCTGCGCTTGTTCTTTCAATATGAAAAATATTATGTATTCCTGAATCAGGGTCATTATATTATTTTGGAAGCAGCAAGCAGTCATT